GAAGAGATTTACAGAAAGGACGATAGGCTCCTCACCTTGTTAAAAGATGTTTATGTGGAGTCCAGAGATCCACCGGTGCAGGTGAGTGTGTTCCTCGGGAGAAGGCATACCAGCATCAGCTCTGTGGCATTCTAACTCGGCACAAATTCTGGATAAAGAAAAATGCTCTCTTACTGCCTAAAAGCTACCTTTTTAATAGATAAAAGTGATGTTTTCATTACTCGTATCAGTAGCACTGACTATGTTTGGCCCCGGGTCTCAAACGTGTGACAGACTGTGGTTATACAACTGTCTAAATGCTTACACAGTCTTCCTTTTCAACATCATATTAATCTTATTTTGTTTTTCATCTAAATTCCCACTTCTGCTTCCTCAGAGGCAGGACAGTTGGCCACCTTTTTGCAAAGATGCAGGAGTTTGCCAGAGATCTCTTGTAGAGCTGTCAGAAGAGAAGAGATTGGGACAACTATATGGTAGAGGACAAAGGCATTAACGTTTTAGTGGAGTCTTTAACTACTGATACGAATGTTGTGCTACACAGAGACTTTTCCTCACAAGACTGAGGAAGTGACTTAAGTGTTTTTTTCTGCATAACCTGGCTTGTCTGGTGATCAGTTTCCTCATTGCCAATGGCTGTGGTCTTTGACTTGGAAAGCAAGGCATACCCCTTGCCAGGAATATGCAGACTGGGGCTCAGTCTCCTCTTTTCCACTTTGTTACATTATGGTTTGTGCTTTTTACCTGTTGCATTATTGGATTATTTTATTCTAGGTGCTTTATTCAGTAATAAAAATTTGATAATCATCTAGCAATTAAATTCCTAAGTCTCTCTGATGTGCCACTTTCACAGTACTTTCTATTCAAGATTAAAAATATCTTCAAAGGCAAACAGATTTCTGCAGTCTCTCCCTAAAGTTTCCAAGTAATCTCTATCTTTAATTTTTATAAAGGAGGTTAGGACTCTAATCTTGAGGTACTGAAGGTCTAATTTAGATATCTTTCAACACCTCCATTTGTAATCCTGTCAAGATTGATCTGAGGAAAAGCCAAGAGTGGAGCACATCTTAGTGCTCAATTCTGTGCCTGCTCTGAGGCTGCTGCCACTTCAGACTTGCTCTTGTGGTGTGTCTACTTGCAGTTGTTCTGAAGAGCGTGATTCATGTGTTAGCGTGGAGTCTTGGGGGCAAAACTACATCCCAAAGCTTCCTTCCTTTCCTGATGTGACTCTGAATGCTTTGTGCATCCCATATGTATACATACCTATATGTATATTTGGTCTGTCTCTCTGTGGTAAGTGGAAAAGCACCAACACGAGTTCCTGAAGTGGCAGATACCCAGAGACAGATCATTTTATTAAGACTTGAAAAATTATTCATTATCTGAGCACAGTTTTGGCACAAAATAAAAAGGAAGAAATGGAGAACTGGTAACACCATCAGACATTCTTTGTAGTTCAGAAACAGTCACACAGTTACAGATGCTGTAACATCCACATTAAGGTTTCTCAGCTTATAAGTTAATACAGACTGTCTGTGGGCCAGTTGATGGATATACTTTTTCTTAAACTTAAGAAAGGTTTTCACTGTGTCTCTTTTGCAGTGTCATTCACTGTTAAATCTTAATAAAAGGCAATAGGGGGAAAGCAGAGCTGGTTTGGAAATGACTTAGAAATATGAAGGGACTTGAGTGAAGAGACTTCCTGTGTCTGAGCACTGCAGTAGTCACAGGAATTAAACTTCATATGATGCTGCAGAATAGTTTCTTTTTGTCCAGCAAAGCTTGTTCTCTAGACAGAGCAAAAGAAGGGATATCTTTTAGTTGCAAAGCTAAAAACTGAATATTAAAGGGAGAGACTGTATGAAAAGGATTTCCAGTGGTATCAGGAGGATACCAATTTGTAGTGCGATTTTTGGTTTTTCCCCCATGCCATGAATCAGTACCAAATGTTAGGTTATCACCATTTATTTCTGGCTACCAAAATTTGTAGTTTGACTTGTATGAGTTGGTACAACGATTCAGTGGTGTTCAATGGATGGTAGTGTTTCACAATTTGGTTGGTGGGTTGACATCGTCAATAGAGTGACTGTGGAACAACAGACAATTTTTCTGATATCAAGAAAGTAAGGCTGGCTAAGCATTTTTTTTTATTTTCTATGCTGTGAAAATGGGGAAAGTTCACAGGAAATGCCATATTTAGGAAAACAGCTTGGCTGTTACAGTATGCAGTGAACAGAACTGCTGGTAAGCTCTTTGTTTTCCTTCCCACAATTAGGTAAAAGATGGAGGTGGCGAAAATCTTCCATGTAAACAGGAGGAAAAGAGACTCACAAAACTAGGCAACTTGGGAGATCTAGATATTCACAAAGTTCCCAAAGGCAAAATTTCCATTGTGGAGGCTCTGACACTTCTTAATAATCATAAACTTCATCCTCAAATATGGACTGCAGAGAAAATAGCAGCGGAATACAGTCTGGAACTGAAGGAGGTCAACTCTCTTCTGGAATTCTTCATTCCTTTTGCTGTGCAGGAATTTCCTAAAGACACCAAAAAAGCTATAAAACCAACATAAAAATAATTACCAAAACCTTGTGTGATCTTACTCGTGTCTTAATTTTATTCTTGAGTATATCAGTGTCTGAAAAGAGCTGGTAACGTGTCATCCAACAAGGCTGCTTCCTTGTACCACCAGGATGTATTCAAGCTATTCCATTCTATATTGGGTGGCTTCAATTAGAAGCAGCAATTACAGGATACAGTTTGTAAACCAGACTATAAATACTAAGTCCAGCATGTCACATGATTCTGATCATCCCATTTGTGTGTTATAAGCTCAGTTAAAACATGTAAGTTCTAGTGAGAACTTTTAATTTAACAGATTGCCTTTCTTAGCAGAGACTTCCCGGCCTTCAGCTGAATCAGTGCCCTGTGTGTATCAGCTCCGCAGCTTCACGACTTGCTCTCGAGGTGTCTGTACATACAAACGGCTGTTTTTCTTTTGTATAAAAATGGAATAGTGTTTTTACTTTGTAAAGAAGGTTAACCACAGGAGACTGGGGAAATTCAGCTGTGTCAAAGTAAAAAGAAGGTGAATAGCAAGAAGGCCTCTTCCTGCTGCTGGAGCAATAACGGCTGGTGGTGTAGCTCCTCTTCCACACTCTTCTGATTTAGCTTAGATGTCTGCACCTCCCCAGGTGCTGGAGTGATGATCTTCTAGCATCAGTCTCTTGCAGCAGTTTCTGGCACCTGTAGGAAAAAGTAATTGTTCATATTATAATTAAGGGGTAGCTATCAAATGCAATTGAATCTACTAATTGGACCCACTAGTAGATCTTCTGTCAATGTCTGCCTGTCCCACCACAATAGTGGGGTTTCCCCATGGAGGCCTTGTCTGCCTTACCCCAATGTGGGCTTCCATGGGGTCACAGTCCTTTCCCAGTGTCAGAGAAGGAGGCTGCAGCCTGTGAGGAGGTGACTGTGGACTGTAACCCTCCTGACACCGTCACCGTTCAGGTCTGTGCAGGTCAGGAAGACATTCTGCACTGAGGATTAATGCTGTTGTGAAAACTGGTTTGTGTCTTCCAGATAAGCTGGTGTGTGTGCAATAATCAGAATTTATATTTAAGAATGCGTTATGGTTGCCTTTATTAAAAAAAAAACAAACCAACCCCAAACTGTTCATTTTATGCAGTGCTAACATCCCTAGTGCCCAGCACCAAAAAAGCTGAATTTATAAAGAGGATGGAAGTCAGGACCGAGCCTACAATATAACTTAAGGTCCTAAATTTCAGACTCTGGTAAATATCTTAGAAAGAAGATGATGAGCTTTGCCATTTCACAGCAAGATTCCTTCCGCTTCTCTGCCTGAGACAGCAGCAGGTATTTCCAGTACAGCCTGCCACAGGGCATTCAAGGGTTTCCTGGGTTCATTTCTGAAGCACATAATGCTGTCCCTGAGCGGAAGGAAATGCCACCTAAGTGCATTGGCTGGAAATTGGAAATTGTTAGTGATTTGGATGTGTGGATGGGGGACAGGCTTGTCATTCTTCCTGGAATGTAACGGGGACAGAGCTGCACTCGACCTGATGCATGTGAGTTACGCACCACAGGACAATTCCTTTGTTTTCCACAAAATGCTCTGTTTTATAGAATGTTGTAACAAATACTTTATTGTTTGAGAACTGTTCTTCCTAATGTAATATTTAAGGTAATATTCCAAGTACAGCCGTGGAATGCATTCGGTACCAATCACTGGAGACACTGGGATTTCCTTCCTTGAAAATGAATCTTTAATTAGGTATTGGAATTGATTAAAAACTCACTTTGTAATCAGCAGCTTAACCATACCTTGGTCTCCATTTTTGCTTCTTTTGTCTGCCTTTGTCAACTGTCTTGTGATTGTCTACACCCTGACAGTACCCTGTCCCTAGAGGCATTACAGTGTGTATATATATATATATGTGTCTATATGGTATATATGCTGCTGCTTTGCTTACACCCTTCAAGGGGCACGTGCTTTGGGACATTTGGTGCTCATCATGCTCAATGCTTCAACCATACCTTCAGGACAAAATCCTTCCCATGAATGAGATGATCGCAAAGCTCTCCCTGGTTTCTCTGGAGCCAGAATCTTGTCCTCAGAATACATTGTCCCCGGTGGGGAAGCGGCAGGTCCCACAGCACAGAGGTGGGCCACAGATTCATCCCCCTGGAAGCAGGTAAGCTCCTGGTGGCCTAGAAGGCTCCTCTGGAGCAGGGAACTTCTCCAGCACAGCGTGTTCACTCCAGGAAAATTGAACACAATGCAGTTTGCTGTCAACATGCAGATTCTTCTGCTGGTCACCTGCCCCACCTGCTGGGCAATGTCAAACCAGTATTGTGAAGCCATCACTGATGTTACTGATAATGAAAAATCTGTATCTATGCAAATTATCCATAATCTGAATGTTTAACTTTCAGTGGTTCTCCAGACAGGGAGTGTTCTACTGATCCAAATCCCACGGGAAGATCCAGGAGCTCTGCTGGGAAAGCCCTGATCACGCACTCTGAATGCAGCCATCCTTCCCTGTGTAGGCTACCGCAGGGGTGTGCTTCAGCTGTGCTAAAGTGAGAAGATAACGCTGCCTTTAGGGCTGGTGTCTGGGAGAAGACAATTCTCACTGTTGCACCTAAAAACGTTTCTTTCCTTTCTTCCTATTTCAAGGAGCACTTTACTTACCAGTTATCTTGCCTGCTCACCACCTTTGGTACAGTGGTGTGTTTTTTACAGTTTCAACTTGCTTATGTCTATAGCCCTTTCCTGTTGCTGTTTGGCCATCAGCTTCAGGAAAAGGTACTCTTCAAGGAACTGCTTTGAAGAGGTAATTAGGGGAAATTTGTGGGAACCTGCCATTCAGCTTTCTGGGACTGTTTACATGCCAAATTTTTCACGGTTCGTTGCCATGTATGTGGTGCACCAAATTTAGCTCAGGTGGTTTTGGCCATCATATAGACTCGTTGCATTTGGTAGGGAACAATCTGCCTCACTCAAACTGCTTTTGCCAAATTAATGTAAATTAAAGTATAAACTTTGTGAGTCTGTAAGGGAGTTACTTCATTTCTAGTGTAAATGACACACAGTTAACAAGCTTCTTTGTACGTGGCATTATTAGACCAGTTTCCCAAATGTCACTGAATGAAGCCAGGGCCACCTTGGGCGCTGAGACAGAGTGAATACACAGGGCAGGCTGAGCCTCATTTGGAAATGAGAGTTACATTCCTGGGCAGACATAAAATTTAATTTCTTCAGGGGAGTTCCAGCAGCTATTCTGGAATTCCCGGCTTGAATTCTTCCCAAAATGTCTCTTTAGGGGGAGTCTAGTAGCTCACTTAACCATGTTTTCTAGGATATAGTCCCATTCCTCTAGCCTTGTACAGCCTTCTCCAGCCAGTCTTCTCTGCTATGAAAACTTGATGCAGCTGCACTCTGCTTTTTACCGGCCCACATGCAAAAGTTGGTTGTGTTTTGCCCGTTTCAGTATCAACAACCTGTTTTATTTTGCAGAGCTCTCTTGCCTTCTAGGAGCAGCACATCTGCTGAGGTAAAGATGAGAGCACTGAGCACATGTTTTGCTCCGCAGAGCTTATGAATAGGACAGATTTTCAAAAGGGATGTAGCTTTTCATACATCTTCAAAAGCTGCTCTTTTGGGATACGTGAAACCAAGTAATCTTGTGCTGTCTCACCGTGTTTTAATCGTAGGTTCTTGCAGTCTGATGCCGAGACAAGCAAGACTGGAGCTGTGAGGCAGGAGTTTTACCTTTCTCTGCAGGTTCATCAGAGCGAACTTCAGCACAAAAAGCCTGTAGCCTCACAGCGCACAGAACTTGTCTTTTAAGCTACCTCTTTTTAGTCAAGGAGCAAAGAAAACGATGTTTATATGCGAGAGGTTTGTACTGAACTTTCCTTCATGAGCACCAGGTGTAGCAGAGCTGATGTCCCTCTCGGTGGGGCTGAGGTGGGAAGTGGCAGGGGCTGCAGCACAGCGGGAGCAGGAAGGGCTCACTGTGCTTGGAGAAGAACCCCATGCTTGTCCCTTATGCTCCTACCCCTGTCCCCAGCGCTACAGCCAACTACAGCCCACCTCCTCGCTTCCTGCCAGCTCAGGCAATTAGCAGACTGCTTTATGAACCACTTTAATTCATCAGCGTGGCAGAAAACAAATCAAAACAGGTACATTTAAAATTGAGAAGGACAAACGGTCTTTACTGTTGTCAGCATCAGTGGGTACCCTGCTGTTGGAGTCGGTGTATATTCAGCTTACTTCTATTATCAGCCATGTCCACTGAGGGAATCAAGTTATTAAAATTGGGTATGCTTTTGTGTGCCATTTAGGGGCAAAAACCTGATGTGCAGAGGTTATTTTCAAAATACGTTATGCCCAAGTTCTTTAATTTGGGATAGGAGAAGCATACTCTAAAACCTGTTTTTAATATTGTAATAAAATATTTTGGCATGGTGGTATGAGACGACATTTTTTTCTACGAACAGTTCAAATGGAAGGCAAAATATTTTGTTCAGACACCAAAGATATCCCTTGCTTTGCCAAATAAGGGGGAAATTACGTATTTAGCTTTAGTTGATCTTGAAAATTTTGTCCCATCCTAGTTACTGCCATTCCCATCCTTACCCAATTCCAGTCCTCCCACTCCTCTCGCTACTTTGTTGACGAGTATCATCTGTCAGGTTTCTAGCCCTGTTTCATAGATAGGTAATTAACTGTGTACAATGAGTGAGCCTGATTTACTGTCTACCTAAAGCTACAGCGAAACTGGAATAAATAGAAAGTGAGTGCATTGAATAGCAATGAATCAAAGCCAAGCAGGCTACTGAAGATGTCTTTAGGAAGAAATAATGCCACTCCATTGGCTTTGCTCCTCCACAGAGGAAGAAAGTGGGAATAAATTTCATACTGTGTTCTGCCTTTCTCAATTAGCTGTCACCAGTTAAAGATTTCCTGTGTGGGAATGAATTCACAGTTGTCGTCACTTAACAAAGATAAATTCTATCAGCTCACTCCTGGACACGCAATACTTCAATATTAAACTCTTTCTTTATATCACAAAGTTCCCATTAATGTACCAATTTGAGAAACGGAGCCATTTTTTTGGTGACTCTCTTAATAGGTTGACATTTAATCATAGTATCTTAGCCCTTTTGAAAGAAATGTACTATTTTGTATGTTCTGGATAAAAATGATTTGAATTTTATCATGGACACAGAGCTGTGATTAAAAACTGAGAAGATACTACTAAAAGCAAGTCTGTTCTTTCAAGAAATAACAGAAATACCCGTTTGTGATGTACAGGCTCCATGACACACATAATTCTCTAGCCTGCAGAAAGTGGTGAAACTGCAATGTTTCGGAGATACCCTAAGGAAAAACCATAGTTTTACTGACAGAGAACTACAGGAAACCCTTGTTGGATTTTTAGCCTCAAAATTGTGTGTTTTCTATAATTCTGCTGCTATGGAACTTGTTACAGAATTCACCCCTTGCTACAACATCATGCTCTAGCATGGAACATTTAATTTTGCCAAAAACTTGTAATTAGTTCTCAGCCAAGAACAAAAGCTTGAGCTGAGCGTGAACCATGCTACTCACATCCCCTTCAGTTTGCTGCAACCTAAAATAATACTTTTGAGAAATACAAACTGCTCCCTCCGTCTTAGCTGATAGATTCTTCTGAAAATACAAGATGAAAATCTAAATGTAGTTAAAGTCAAAATGCAGAATATTATATTAATGTAAATGACATAGGGCTTTTGATGTGCTACTGCTTTCCGTCTTCGATTTAACCTTGCCTCTGTGACAATTTCCTTTTTTATTTTTTAACAATACGAAAGGCCTTTGCTAAAGCAATGTTTTGTCCTTGATGAAATGCTAGCACCTCCTTCACCTTTCCCTGCACAGATCATCTCGGCTTCCTGAAGGAAGGAGAAAAATAGCAGACAAATAGATTCAAATGTCAGGCTGAAGAACGTTTCATGATGGTTTTTCAAACACTACGTCCTTTCTACACTGGGCACTAGAGACAGACACGCTGCATTTGTGCAGCCTCGATCAAAGGTTTGTTTCAAGTGGAAGACAACTTGAAGCTGAACTAACTTCACACGCTACTGGTTTCAAGTTATTTCCACAATAAGGAAAAGTGATTACTTGAGAGATAAAAATCCAGTACGCCTTCCAATTGGTCAAGCTGTTTCTATGGTTGCAGAGTGGTATCTAAAGATTCAGCTGAAAAAACCTGGCTTAAAGATGACAGAACAGCTTATCTGTTGCATCCCTTCACTAGACACGCTGGACAAAAATGGAGTTCCAGGCTCTGGAGGAGCTACAGGCAGATGGTTTTGTTGCTGAATCCTTGCAAATAACCCCTCTCCCCAAATCAAACTTTTTTTCTGAAAGCCCTGCCAAGTATGTGCTGCAGGTGGCCTCTTTTCTTATGTTGTCAGCTAGCAAAGCTTTTAAGTGCCACCAGAGATTTATCAGAATATCATGAGATTTATGGAGGGGAGGCTCAGGGGACCCAACTGCATCATTTGAGAAGGTGAGTTACTGCTATGTACCTAAACATAAGCTATGAAAACAAGAATAATATTTGTTTGGGCTGTGTTCTGCAAGCACACTTCACCCCATAGCTTTTAGAGGAGTCACCACACAAAGCGTTACTTAATTTACTGCTGTATTTTTCTCTGGTTTACCATTAGGAATAATATTGTCTTTTTATTTTCTGAGGTCTGCTAGCAGCACAGTAGGAATAAAAAATGTATAGGCATAATATGAGAAATTAATCTTGACTCTTCC